GGGGGGGGGGGGGGGGGGGGGGGGGATGGTAGAGGCCAATAGGACCTCAAGCTTTTTAAACGAGCCTAGCTTGGATTTTTACAGATCCAAGGGGCAGTTTATTTATCCACTGCAGTAAAAGGAAAACATTGCCAAGGGTGAGACCTCCTTACTCTGGGGGCAGCACAGGTATGTGCTTCTCAGTTCATCTTCCCTGGGAAAGGTGAATGGGCTTTCACAGCTTGGGAAGGATTTCCAAATTTGTTTTATTTTTTGATTCTAAAAGTTCCCAAAGACTATGGATACATACATGAATGAGTAAAAAAAGTGTTTTTTCACCTCATCTACTGGAATTTTCCAAATTCCTGAATTTCCCCTGGAGAGTCTATAACAGCACTTGTTTGTTCTGCATGTGTTTTTAGAGCGGTTTAACACCACTGCATGTAGCTGCACACTACGATAATCAAAAAGTGGCCCTCCTCCTGTTGGACCAGGGAGCTTCACCTCATGCCTCTGCCAAGGTACAAATACTGGCCACTCTCGGGGAACAATACCCAGGCTTTTTATGTTGCTTTATTCCCTATCTACCCCTGTTCTTTCAAGGCTGTGTATGTTTGAAGTTACAGGAGGCTCAGTGACCTGGTTTGTTAATGTCTCACATCCATGTAAAGCTGCTAGAATAATCCTGCAGGTGAATAAAATAGCAATAAAAAAAAGCAAATAAAGATGCAGAAACACTTTAAATCACCAGTTTGTCTCAAAAAATACCGAGCCTTGCTGTCATTTGCCCAGCCTCTTCAGCAACTTCTCCAAGCTAGCTGTCTTTGCATCATTGTATCTTAAGATTTGTTCAGGGCGAGCTTGGGGTTAACACCCAGCTATACAGGGTTACTTCTGTTAGTGCCACAGGGTGGCATTGAGGCAAGATACGTTTCTGAGCACAGTATATGTAATTATTCAGGTGCTTCGCAATACTTCTACCTCAGCTTAAATGGACTGGCAAGAAATAAAACTAGTCACAGCCCTGCTTTGATTGTAATTCACTGTAGGCAAGACCATACCTAGTGTAAGGTTTCAGAGGATATGGAAGAAAAAATATGTAAATTACTCTGGTAGTGCATAGAACAAAGAGAATTTAGAGAAGCTTAAACTGTCTCTTTTGTGGATCCCTGTTTTAAGTATGGGATGGATAAATACTGTAATCTATCTATGTGTAATTGATATTTGAACAGGAACATTAGGTAAAGCAGGATGAAAACATAAGTAGGTCAAAGCAAGTTAAGTGCAGTGTGTAAATACCTCATTTGAAACAACACAGACAGTTTCCTTAAATCACTGCAAAAAAACCCCAGACCTGTGGAGAAAGGAAAGCAAGTGGAAAAGCCAGTATTGTAGTTAAATGGGCAGCACTCCTTGATTGCCTTCCTCTTACACATGGCTGAGTGCAGCCATAGCAGTGGAGGCCTTCTGCATGGCTGAAGGAGAGGATGGGGTATGCCACGCATGGTAGATCCCAGAGTTTGTAGTGCAAGGAGGGGGAAGTTAAATGGACATGGACTGCCAGCAGCAATGGTGCAGTTTAAAATCAATGCTGTCGATAGTGGCAATCTGCCAGACCAGTGCCCCAGGGGGGCAACTGGAGTGATCTCTGATCTTTCAGTACCGCAGCACAGCACTCTCAAGTGCCACTGGGGAGAAGAAAGGGCCTTCTGAAGAGGATGAGAAAGCACTGACCCAGTTTTCACTGAAAGAAGCTGCCGGTGGGAGCTGTACATCCTGTAGGGGCAGAGATTGCAGCAGCCCCTGCCAAGGGCTTGGGAAGTCCGAACCAAGGTGGAAGCCCTATAGACTGTGGTACAGCATTGCACAAACTCATCTGTCAGGTCACCTTAGCTTCCCCATCTGTAACAGAACAGTTCTGCAGCTGCTACTTCAGGCCTCCAAGTGCCAGCTGTAAGTGTGCCTAAAAGAAAGCATTTGTTAGTGTTCTGCAGCAAGTGAGCCACGGCAGCAGCAAGCAGAGCGTCAATACTAAATAAAATTAAACATAACATGTTTGTTGCTTCAGGCACCCACTGTGCACTCATCTGAAAGATGATGTTGGTAACAGCAGATGATTTCCTGTACTTTTTGTAAATGTAGTCCAGTAAATAAATGTAATGTCATATCTCATCACTGGCTCCACAGTTTCATCAGTAGCTGCCTTTCCTGTGACACCACTGTCTTTAACACTGATCTTAAGAGTGACTCATTAGCCAAGCCCAGCCAAATTTGACTTGAAGAGTGATAAGTGACAGGGTATGGGAAATGGGCGTGTCAGAGTACGGTGCTGTGATACAGTTATTCTGCTGAACCATTCTTTTCTTTCATAGGCAGAAATTGAGCCTAATTTCACATGCAGTTTATCCATAATTTGAATTTGGCATCCACTTTACAGTCCCTTTCTTCTTCCCCACTCCATCCCCAAAGCCTTAGTTTTCCTCTGTCCTTTCATCTTTAACCATTTCCCCTTTTTCTGCTCTTTTCCCTGGCAACCAGCATAACCCAATACCCTTCCTTCTAAACTTCTCTGTTCCTTTCTCCATCTGTGCATAGTGACAGAGTGCTGGCCTTATGAGAAGATGCAGATTGAGACTGAGTTGAATTTCAGCTTTTATTTTTCAGCTCTATTTTTGCATTCTCTTGGCAACTTGCTGCTGTCTGTTCTCATGAAAGCAATATATGCCAATTTCTTGGGAAAAGGCTTGGAAACTGTATTTGTTATTTTATATAATGTAATATGAGCTCAATTTACAGGAGTTATGTTTTAGCAGATATGTAAGATTTAGCATGTAGGATTTAGCATGTAGTATTTAGGATTTATTTGGTGCTCATGTGGAAGTGCTTGTTTTACATGGCAGTACCATGCTAAAAGTCTAAGGGAGAGGGTTATGTTTGTTTTTCCTGAAGCACTTTATCTTCAAAGTGAAAATTCAGGGGCCATGCGCTTCCTTTATTGATTGTGGCACTGTGTTTCCTGAGTGCCATTTTCAGAGACCTTAGTATCCAAGATCTGAACTGAATCTGAATTGAATTTAGAAGGTTACAGAATCTTTTCCATGTGAAACTAGTGCTGTGCATCTCTTGCTGCCAGGTTCCTATTAAAGCTCTCTAGTAATCATTTGTGAGCCCCCATGTGTTTATTTCTTGCTCATACCTGCACTGCTCTGCAGTCTCTTGTGACCTCCCTTCCTTTTTAGACCAGCCCTGCTGCCCTGTTGGTGCAGGGAGGAGCCCAGGCAGGTGAATGCTTTGTGCCTTTAGGTAGATTTTATTTGGCTTGGTAATCTGAGATGCAAAGGATACTTATGATACCATAAAAAACCACAAAATGGTTTATGCAGCTTGGATCTCATCCCCCGACCTTGTCCCTTAGTCACATGCAAATGTGTGCACATTCATCATTTGCTTGAAAATGGGAGCTAATACATACAATTCCTGAAAGACAGGAAGTTCTTGACTAAAAAGTCATTGTAATCTATACCAAAAACTTGTTATACCTCCATCAGAGTTTTGGTATTTGTGTGCTGATCAGTTACTCTTTATATCCATTTATCTATTTTCTGCCTATCTGTCTTTTTTAGAGTTATAAAATTGTATCGTGCAATAGATACTGCATTTTTATTTTTAGTAGTGGGCTCCCTGAGTACACATATTGGAAGGAATAAAAAGATAAGGAATGCATGACTCTAAAGTTATATGCTTCAGTTTTCCCTTGATCTGAAAAAAAACCCAGGTTGTCAGTAAGGTTTAGGGTAAATGATGCAAGAAAGGCCATATTTAATGTACGTAATACTTTCATTAACACTGGGAAATGGGAAAAAAACCCAAACAATGGCAGCTGTTCTGAGTTATGAATACACATCCTGCTCTTCTTTTTGTTGAAGATTTCATGTACATTTAAGTAAAAGGAGCAAGTGTATGAAACAAAACTCAAACTCCTATTTCTATAGATTGTCCTTTCCTGAAAAGAATTTTTTTTCCCAGATTTGAAAATTTACTTCAGAATCCTCCTCTTTGTAGCAATACTTTCAAAAAAAAGATTGCTTGAGGGTCAGATACATTGGTTCATACAGCTTGTTAACATTGTATTTGACTGTGTTTGACAGAATTTTTAGAGCTAATGGCATTCAGAATTGGGTAGGTAGAGAGAAGTGATTTATCACCTTGTTCAGTGAGCAGCTCACAGTGAAGTGCTTTCTGTTGGCAGAACGGTTACACGCCCCTGCACATAGCTGCCAAGAAGAACCAGATGGACATAGCAACCACACTGCTGGAGTATGGTGCTGATGCCAACGCAGTCACCAGGCAGGGCATCGCCCCTCTGCACCTCGCCTCCCAGGACGGCCACGTGGACATGGTGTCGCTGCTGCTCTCTAGAAATGCTAATGTCAACCTCAGCAACAAGGTGAGTGTTCCCCCTGCCTGGGGCTAAGGCTGTGTAAAAATGTGATGAGAAGGAGAGGGGCTGGCAATTAAATTTTGCTGCTGGGATACTGCACATGCTGAAAGCCACTGCAGGTGTCTGAACACACATCATCATTATCATCTCTCCTAGCAAGGAGCAGCATGCCATGTCACACTGAATGAACTGTGTTTTGTAGTGCCCAAGGTTTGGTGATAACACATGCTGCACTGAAATTTATTAATCCAGTATTAATTTATACTAGTCTGCCAAAACATGGCCAGAGAGAAAATATCTTCTTCCCCACAGGGGCTACTGGGGTTGGCACCTGCCATTTATCAGCCTCGAGGAATATGCCTGCCCATTTTTCAGTTGTTATATGTGTAATTGTAAGATTTGCTATGCTTTTTTGTATTTTTTTGTATTTGTAACATTTTTTCCATTGTAATATTTTATAACAAAAAATGTAACATGTACCAGTGAATGATAACAAATATGAGGACCTGGCATATAATGGCAACAGCTGACTTGTTCAGGGATGGTGACTTTATTAATTGGATAATAAGAGCAACTTTGTCTCAGATTTTGTTCTTTAATATAAGTGATTCTTCCTCCCCAAGTTATGTTCCTTAACCCACAGTGGCTTTTGGTGTAATTTCTCCTGATGGTAGGAAAGGAAAGGTGATATATTTTAGTTTATGTGTGAATTCATAGGCTATTAAGTCTGCTCTATAGTAATATTTCTAGCAAATGTGCAGCCTTAATTCTTTAAATGCCCCACTAGACATTGTTGTCTGACATTGTCAAGTGCAGTTTCAGTATGGACTTGTGTGGCTAGACTAGAGAGGCAATAGAATTTTTTTTCATGGAAAATATTTCTTGTTCTTAGCAGGTAGGAAGAGCCAGTGGGTGTTCCTGCACAGGGCTGCTGTGTTTTTCTGCTTCTAGCTTTCCAAATTGATTATTTGTGGGGCCTCCTTCAGAAAGCTTCTCTTGCAGATGTGGATTTTTTTTTTTTTCCCCACAAGTTTCAATCATGTATGGGTTTATGCAGCACAGGATATATCCCCACAGGAAAACTTGCCTTGTACATGTTCTGCATCCATTGACTATCCCATTTTCCTCCTAAGACTAATACAGGGAGCATGATTGAAGTACTTGGCACATTGATTCAGTGCCACCAAACGTTAATTACCTGCAGCATCCCTAAATCTGTTCAGTTGTAATCTCCAGTTTCTCATTGTGCTGATGACACCACCTTTGGGGAGTAATTGCCCTCCATACACTCTCAGGAATGCACATTTCCTCAAAGCACAGCACCTCTATATTCAAAACCACATGTTTAAAGCCCACTGATTTCTGAGTTTTACAGTTTTGCAGTGGGAGTAGAAAAGAGCATTTATTTCCTCAGGACCCACAGAATGGTTGGAGCTTCATGCTCAGAACCCCCATACTGAGCATTTATTAGACATGTTTAGAAGGTTTGGCCATTAATATCCAGGCTTCAACAGGTAATTTATAATTGGTTACTGTATCATGTTTGAGTCAGGTGACCCACCTAAGCTGTATTGTCATCAGAATTGCATCTTGGAGTTAAATGTGGTGGGACACTCTCAAAATAACTGCCCTTTGTAGGGAGTGCACTGTGGATGTGGATTTGGGTTCAAGGGTAGGAAACTTTAGTGAATGTTCCTGCCTGATGTGACAACTGCTACCGCTTGCTCTTCTGTCCTTGGTGCTGAGGGCAGTAGGAATAGGAGAGAAAATTAACCATAATTTGCAAGTAAAGAGTGATTTTTCTCATTCCTAAAAGCATCTTCTCAGCAGATTCTCTCTCCTTCTCCTTTTATCTTCTAGCCCTTTTATGTGGCAGAAAGTTGCATAGTTTTTTTAGGTTTTAAGGATATTTAGATTTTGAGTTTTAAATAAGAAAAATTACTATAAGTACATGTTTTCTATCAAGTCTGTATACTCCCTGAGCAGGAATCGCAAAGAAATGCAGTTTTATTATTTTGTGTTTGTGTCTGAAAATGATCAAATAGAGGAGTAAAAGATAAGGATAAAACTAAGTGAATGTAAAACTTGCAGAATTGTAAAGAATTATTTGATATTGCTTTTAATGTCTGATTCATTATAAGGAAGTAAATTAAGAGGTAAAAAAATGCTATGTGACTTTAAGTGCTCTAATTAGCTATCCCACATGTAACACTGCATGGAAAAATGTTCCTTGTCTTAGAGAAACATCATCTTCCTGGCTTTTGAATTGTACTTCCCTGCAGATCAAGAGTGTGATTGCAAAGCAGCTTACATAGTGAAAATGGAAAGTGTAACTTCTTTCAATTCAGTCAGATGTTTAGAGTCTTCCTGTTATCTGAATTTGCATTTCAGTACTCATGTACCTCCTCTGAAGATTGTTACTTGTTGTTTCTGATTTACA